GGATAAAGAACATTATCACTCCTTTTTATCTTTTCTTTTAACTCTACTGTAATTTTCACTTCTCTCGGTATATATATGTGTGTGTGTGTGTATATATATATGTTTAGTAGTAGGTTATATACAGATATTAATAATATATAAGAATATATATAATATAAATAAACAGTTTCCAAGATCTAAGCTAGTGATCTCCCCATCACCTTTTTATGCCTCTCACTAAATTTTCATTCTACCATTACAGATATCGGTTACTTTTTTAATTAGTGGCTTTTTGCATTGCTCTCTTTTAGTAACATTCAATTATAAAAAATCAGAGAAGTTATGCCAGCTAATTAGTTATACATGAAGATGTTAACCTAGACCTAAGGAAAGTATAGTCCTCTTTTAGTGGATAGTTCCTCAGATAATGAGTGGAAGCATTAACTTTCTGTGTACAACATAGCATTAAAAAAGTTTCAGAGCTCCTTTATAATGTGGCGCCACAGTAAAGCATGGGTTTTAGTTGTGTGTCCATGTATATCTTGTATATCTTGTATAATTAAAGGGACGAGGCACATTTACCTCCAGATGCTTAGTAACTTTCTGGTATAATTTATTTTCCTTCCCCAAAGAACAATGGGCTCATAAAAAAAGTCCTGAACATTCAGTATTCATGAAAAGGCCAACAGATATTGCATGGTTTTGAAATCATGCTTTTATAAAATCACAGAATTTTAAATCACTCTAATAAGTGTGTTTATTAAAATTAATTAAGGTTAGAAAAAGGCGCATAGCTGAGATTAGTAAAAATGCGTTGCAATAAAGAAGATAGGCTAAATCACTCTAACAGGTAGACCCAAAATGCAATGTCTGAACATAGCAGAGGTTGGTTTCAGCTTTAGCATAAGACTACTTCAGGGAGTAGGGAAGTGGGGTCTGCTCCATGACCTTGAGCTATTGTGATAAATGATTTATTTCTTTATATGCTGTAATGTGCTCATATTTTTTTCCTTGTTTCAAAAATATAAAGAAAAATGTTTTATAGTTTAGTATTCAAGAGTTAAAGAGAGACAGGAATAAGAGAAGATTATTTCCTAAGCAAAGGACGGTGGTATGGCTAGTGGTATCATGGCCTTAGATGATATATTTGCCTTTCTCCTTTACTGAAACGCACGACTGAGCCTGTACCAATATACTATTTTCTGCTTCTGCCTGAAAGTTTATTTCAAGACAGAGTGTGAAAGTTGAGTAAATTTTGTGGTCTAGACACATTATCAATGTTATTATAGACACATTATTATGTTATCATTATCATATCAAGAAGGTAACTCTTACTTTCTACTTATTTCATAAATTTTGTTGCACAAAGTAAGTCTTTACTTAAGTTCTACAGGTTAATACAGAGTTCTCATAGAGTGAATTTTGCTTGATCTTGCCACATGGTACACATTGTCTAAATGGGGATAATTTAAGCTAAATTGAGTCATTTCTTCATTCTACTAATAATACTGTTCGAGAAGTACTTTCAATCTATATTTTGGTTTTCATTGTCTTTTCTATAAATACTTCATGTTTCTATGTTAGTCATGTGGGTTTTCCCCCCGTATTCAATATAATTTCTCTTTTTTTAATACAGAGAACTACTTTTCTTATATGTGAGTCTAGTTTGTATTCCATTAAATTCTTATGGTGTTCTCATTTGTTTTTTTTAACATTTTGTTGCTAATAAATTACTGATAATTTGTCTAAGATGATTAAAGAAAAATAATTATAAAATTAGAAATAAAGGGTGTCATTGGTATAAAGTAATTTTTTTAGCTAAAACAAAAAACTGAAAACTGCATGAGTCATATTTTCTACATTAAGTTTCACCTAGAAGTTGAGCATTTGTTGAAAAAATGATAATGATATAACTCAAAAACAGATAACATATCCTCCCTTCTATGAGACTGTATTATATATACACATTAGTAAGGTCCTAGGAATCTATATGATGTATATGGAAGTGGTATAAAGCTATACCAGATTTTTTTTGAATTCTGCAAATAATTATATACTTTAAAAAAGCATTGAATCACATAAAAATTTATTTCCATTTGTATTTTTCATAATTCAGTGCATCTTTCAGTAGGTATTTCTCAGAATACCCTCAAAGAATAACCCTCGAAAGTAGTTTGCACTTTATAACTGTTCCTTGCTAGCTGTTAGAAAGTATCTTCAATTAAAACCTAATCTGCAGGTATTGTTGCTGAAAATAACGGAGTAATCTCTTTCAAATCAGTTTAGCGTATTACAGATCTATTTGCTCCATGGCATGAGTTATAAAACATGTCTCAGTATATGTATGATAAACTGGATAGAATGGAAACCTTGATTTAAAAAAAGTTACCTCTACTATACACACGCAGAGACACACACACACAGAGGGGTCACTTTTAGGTCCTTAGCTGAGGATCATTTCAAATCAATTTATCCATAGCTATCCAGACAAGATTGTTGCCTACAAGTAGTTCACTTTTCTTTTAACAGAAGTTTTCTTTCTGTTCATATTACTAGTGGTCTAAAAGCTACTGAAATTACCCACCTATAACATGTTCTAGTATAAATGTTTATTGCTTTTAGTCTTTACATTCAGGTAATTTTATGATTGGATCTCCTTAGAATACACTTGAACAAAACTTTTCAGAACATAGAGCATTTTACTTTGTCAAGACAATAACAAACACATACACAGGGATATAGATGATAAGAATGTTAAGAGTCAGATTATGGAGGAATATGTACTTAGGTGTTTCTCAGGTAGATAATGGAAGGTCATCAAAGTTTATTTGGAGTAGGAAATATGATTGGAACTCTACTCTAAGTTAAATCACTGAAGTGTTATTTATATATTTTTTTCAATCGAAGCCTTTGTTTTTCTAGGCTTTTGATTATATTTTCAAACTTAATTAGCAAGTCTACAGTGCATTTATGAGATGAACACGTGCTTCCACAGTGTTTTACTAATAGTTTCCATCTTCATTTGAGTAACACAGACCTTGCTAACATGTAGTATACTTTTCTTGCCATTTGGCAAGTATATCTATTTAGTTTGGTTTGTTTTCCACAATTAATGCTGACTGATAACTGGGTTCTTTTCTCTTCCAGGTTGTGGAGACGAATTTGGTTGCTTTTGACTGTCACTGGATCATTATAAATGAGGTAAAGTAAACTAAACCTTGCTGTTAACTCTGGGTCCTGTTTTCGTATGTATAGTCACAGCATTCCTAGGGCCTTGAATTTCTACCAAGAGACAGAACACAAAGTAAACTTTCAGCTTACTGAGTGGATGCTGTTAGATAAAAGTAGAGTAAGGAGGTTTTTTTTTTTAGTTATAAAGGGCTTTGCATGAATGAAATAAATGGAGAACATATTCCCCACGGAGCATCTTTTAGCCTTTTCCATTGACACACACTGCCTACTTCAGGAGATCATCTTTATGAAAAGTACAGCTCTTCTTTGTCAGCACGGTGAATTCCTCCCAGTGGAGTGCTTATGTTCCATTTATATTTTACTGTTGTTTCTAGAACTTTTGCATCCACCCCCGTTTACACAAGGATTAAATAGTTTAGCACATGAATATGAGTAAACAAGAGCAGATTGTTTTTCTTTTCATAAAGCAATACAATTGTTTTAAAATTCACCCACTTGTCAAGTCCCTTGTGAAAGTTTTTTGAATTTTCTAAGGACCATACATAAGATAAAAATATACTATTACAATATGAGAGCCCTCTGAAACAAATTATTCTATTAGCACCTGCCAGTCAGAATTGGAGAGGACAGTGAGAGGTCAGTCAGGGATAAATAATGAGATCATGTGAATCTGTTCTCAACGAGACCTAGGATTCAACATATCTATCTCTTATGAGTAAAAATTACGTATTATTTATCAACAGATACTAAATATTGAATGATAGAATAACAAGTTTTGTCTCAGGAACAAAACAGCATTTTGGGCAAGAATACTGGTTTTGCAATTAGCCAGATAGGCTCCATCCTGGCTACACAACTGGTTAGCCGTGTTACCATGGAAACATAGTGTAATCATCCTGTGCCTCAGGTTGTTTTGTTTGTATGTATAATAACATTTACTTTACAAGTTCACGATAAAAATTAAGTGGAATATTATCCAGTATCCGTAACACAGTCCTGACAAAAGGCAATAAATAGTGCTGCAGTAATGAGCAGAGCACGGGGAAGCTCACAAATCACTTTCTCACGCAGTATTTTGTTGAATGCTAAATATTATTATGAAGTAATGAGGGAATAAGGGCCATGGGAAGCGTATGATTTGTCTCTTCTTACACAGAAAAGTAAAACCAGTTCTCAGTTCAAGTGGTTTCTCCTGCACCACACTTCACTGATGGAGTTTTAGCTCTCGTTGGCTCTTTTTCATTCAATGTAAAGGCACTGGAGACATCTTACAAACCTGTTGTTGGTCTGCCAAACTGTAGGTCTACATGATTTGTCAGTGAGTGTCTTATGTCAAATTAGGATGTGTTTTTCTGAGATCCCCAAAGATAATGTGTGTATGTGAGATCTGCTTTTCAATAAAGTTTTTAATAACTTTAATGTTGTAATACCACTCAAGTTTCCGTCTCGAATGACTAGATATCAAGATAGAGTAAAAGGAAAAGGGAAACTTAACAAACCTTCATAACTTTTCAAATGAGATGTTTTCATTTCTATTTTTCTGCAAGGAATCTAAGATTGAAATAAACAGTTGGCCAAATATTACACAACTATGAAGAGGTGATAATGGAATGTAAAACCTCTTAGTCCTTTCCAGCCTAAAGCTTTGATTGTTCTTGCTTCATTTTCTTTTGCTTCAATAATTTTCCTTACAGATTGTATTTTTGAAATTTCTGCTACCTAAATTTCAATCTTACAGGAGCCATATCTTGTTACTTTTTGTCTTTAGCTTATTATTTTCTAGGTTACTAATTCCTGTTTTTGTCTCACCTTGTTTTTATTCCCCACCTGCTGACGGCGAATAGACCACACAGGTTTTTCTGTTGTAAAACAAGCTGGAGCCATTTTACTTGTTTGCATCAATAGAGCTGACTAGGGGAAAAAAGTGATTTCTTGCCTCCTTAGAGACATGGATTAATCAAGCCTATTAACACCTATAATGTATAAATGGAAATGCCCATTCCTTTCTATTCTTTGGCAAGATTGCAGAAGGGACCCCTGAATTAACTTTTTTCCGTATTTAATTTAACCTCTAGCACTGTATCTGAATATTAAAAGTATGAACCCAGGTAAAGAGAGCTTTCCAGGATACCAGTGGCCATCTGTCTCATGCTTGTGTGTCAGTTTGTACTGTGGAAGAAATCGCTTCTTCATATTATAGAGAGGAAATCTGACTGAGCAAACTAGCATGTGTTTCATTGATGATGATTATCTTGGAAAGAATAATACAGTTGTATTTTAATATATATTTAATAAATATTATGACTCCTTTTGTTGAGCTTACTAAATTTTATTTCATAAAATATTAGAAGGGCAAATGATGTCTCTAAATGGACATTCCATAATTTGGCCCACCATTTAGCAAAGAAAACATCCACACAAACAAAGCAATCTAACCAGCAAATAACTCAATAAATGCTAGAAGTGTAGAAGACAGTATAGAAGACCTCAGTTCTTTTCTCCCCTTCACACTTGGGTTTCCTATTGTAAACTGTCATAACTTAACTTCCCTTTACCATTACTGGAACTCTTATCTCTGTTTTACCCACAGCCTCCTTGCTGGTCCTTGAGCAGAGATGTCGTTTTAACAGGACGGCAGGTCAGCACTGCTTAACCTTTGAAAAATTTGATGTTCACAGCACACACTGTTTACATTGGTCATTATATTTTCTAAGCTAGGTTACAACTCAGAGATCAAGCATTATTTTCTGTATTTTCATCCCAAACAAAGCCCATCCTTCAGTATATCTGTGGTCAGCACCCTTTCTTCCATGTGATTGCATTCAATCACCTCATTCTCTCCAAAGGAAACTTGAGTCTCACTACCTTTATTTCACTTACAGTCCTGTTTGTAATGGATGAATCATAATTCACCCTAGTCTCCATAAAAGAAGAAATGAGGATTTCTCAAATTTGCTTGGAAGATAGACTCTAAAAGGATCAACAGCCACAAAACCCAACAACATGCAGATGCCCATTTTGCCTGAACATGGGGATCACGAATGTGTCTAGTTTGGTTTGTGTAGCTACTGTTTTGTTGCTAATTTTAAAATGGCTTGCAAACATTTATTTAATCTTGTTGCACCAACAGTGTCTCAGAGAGAGACTACAAATCAAAGTTGGCGTTGTGCATCATGGTACAAATTGATGTTGAAACTTGAAAACTGTCTTTTTTTCATTTGCATTGCGTGTGCTGTAATAATGAGAGGCCGTGCCAGCTCATATGGTGTAATCAATCATCTGTTCGTAGTTGGTAATGGTATTTATCTTCTCCCTGCAATCTGCAGGGAGAAGTGGCTGTAGCACAGAACAGCCTTTCCACATAAGTACTGTCATCCCTTCAGGGTCCTGAAGCAGATGGCCTAGCACTTTATTTAAGTTTTACAAAAGTTAGACATTCAGATAGGAAGCTATGCACTGTTTAGAGCTGCAAGCAGGATAATGCTTTGTGCACCCTTCTTTTAGCTGTTGATACTCAGCCTGACCTTTGGTGCCCTGACTTCTTATTTAAATAGTTTAAGCCATTATTTTCTGTTAATTGCTACTGAATTGTGCCGTTAAGAAGTTCTTCTTATTGTTCTTTTGAGATTTGAAAAGCCTAAGTGTAATGAAAATGTCAAGCAGAAAGCTGCCACTCTGCTCCTCTTCCTGTTCCTACAGTCTACAGCTGGTGGTGGTTCACGTTTCATAATATTTGTAGAAGTTAAAACTTGATGGAAGCATCAAAGGATCATCTTTGCAAAAACATGAATATAGACGTATGAGCAAAACAATACCAACGGAAAGCATAATCTTTTTAAATGCCACCACATAGTACACTGCTTAATATCATTACTAAAACTTGCTTTGTTTAGAATAGATCAAGTTATTAAAGCATCCCAGTGCCTCTACTTACAGTTGTAGGCATCTGTCCTTTAGAAGGTGGTTGGGTAAAGTCTTCATTTTTTTTATCATTCATTTGTTTTTTAAATTTATCGATATTTAATGAGTATCTACTAGGAGCCAGGAACTTTGTAACATTTTAACAAATAAAAGAACAGGAAAAGGAGGAAGGGGGCCCCTTCTCTGAAGTAGTTTATATAGTAGAGATTGGTATCTCATCTAATGGATTTTGAGAGTCTTTCCTTCACCGGAATTTTATTAACTTAAGCCTAAAGCTGATACCCTACAAGGATTCAGGAGTGATCTAGTTTTCCTAAAAGATTTGTTCTGGGAAGTGGCTGTTTCTGGATGGAGTTGTATCCCTACCAAATATTTTAGCTTTCCTCTTTCTTGTCTCTTAACAGTTCAGAGTCCATCCTACATTAAACTGGGACAGCAAAGTGAACAAGAATCTTCTCTTGGATTTATTGATTTGGTTCTTAATAATTTTTGATTATGCACGTAAATTATTTTTGGGGAAAAAGACTGTATGCCTTGCTCACTAAAGAAGGAAAATTGAGAAAAGTTAGGTACACTAAAATGTATTTGTTCATTTGTATTGCACTATCAGTTCTTATTTCATAAATACACTGAGTCCAAAAATAACACACAAAAACTAATTTTATAATTTAGCTTCTTAAATTCTTGCAAATAAAGGAAATGTCTATGTCGAGCACATTTGGGTAGTATGGGCGGTTTGCGAGAGTGAGTGGCAAACTAGTTCTTCACATGGTTATTTTAAAAAATCAGATGGTTTAAACATTTTTAAAGTTCCGAGCATTAGAACAGTATAGATTCCAGTAGATTATACAGTAGTTCTATGTTTTAATACAGAAGTTTACTTACGGATTTCTTTTTCATTTAAAATATCCTTGATAGATTAAGGATTCCCTTGGCTTTTAGCGTTTATATAACATTGCATCTACTACTCTTGAAATGCACCTTTTGAAAACGCAGTTCTGTAAATATAAGGCAGCTGCCTAATCAAGTTTTCATATCACTATCAAACTATTTTTGAGATCAGGTGTCAGAACTAAGACTGCAAGTGAATTTTTTGTGACAGACTGTCTGTTAACTTCATTCAGAATGGCTGATTCTTTCCTCCCAGAAAATTACTTTCTTTTTCCTTTCCCAAATAATAATAGGCAAAATATACTCAATTCAAATTGACATTTTCTCAGATATAGTTTAGTCGCTTAGATACCTGAGAACTTCTGCTTTTAGAACCTGTAAAAGTTAACCATCCCCTTTTGTGGGTTTAAAAATAGTCCTCTTAAAGACTTTAGCTCATGCTAGATGACTTTATCATTCCTTATAGAGTCATCAGGCTATTAAATGCTGGAATAATATATCTTTAGAGTTTTAATTCCTGTCATTCATGAATATTGATCTAAATAATTCCTGTAAGTAAAAATGGATTTCTTGTATAATTATTTCAGAGAATGTCTCTTGTGATGACATTTATGAATTCATATTATGAACAGAGAATATTTTGAATGAAGGGCTTGGAATCTCCTGTTTATTTATCAGTGAGAATAACAGTATCTGAATCAGAATGTAATTTTTAGCAGTAAATAAGATAATAGGTTATGTACTTAGCATTTTGCTTAATATATAGTAAGGACTTAATAAATGTAAGTTTTTGTTCTAATACTCTGATTTGTAGTTCACCATGAGTGGAACATGTAGAAACGATGCTCTTCGACAAAATGTTGATAAATCTACTGCTAAAGATAAAAAGACCACATATACAACACGACTTAGTCAAGGTTATGAGAAAAGTTAATTTTTTCATTGTCCTTTTAAATGAAAATTCCTGTCTGCACAATATGACATTTTTTTTAAATGTAAAGATAATTGAGTAGCAATATTAATTAACTTTAAAAGTTTTCTGGTTAAAGTTCAGGCTTAAAATGGCGTTGACAGAACACTAATTTTACTCTGAGTAGATGACAGAGAATTTAAAAAGCGACCTGCTTTGTGCCAGGCAGAAATTTTGGTGGCCAGTGAAATGACACACACTAAAGGAAAAAGACGGCCTTTTAAACTGAGGAAAACCATTTTTTATGGTACTTTAAGGATTAATCGACTGGAAATCCAGGATATTACACTAGATATAGCTGATGGCAGGTGTTATTTTGTTTTCAGAAAAATCTATATTTCATAAAGATTATAAATAAAGGATGAATTTTAAAGCTACTGTGTGCTATAAGAAAGAATAATATGTGATTAGCCTAGTAAGGAAATGGAGAAAATATACACTTGTAAATCCTCTCTTTGTCTTCCATTATTCTATTCTAAGTCTTTGAAACAAAACTGAGAAATGGCTCACTCCAATCCAAAATGTCTCTTGTGTCAAATCTTTTATTTCTGTTGCCATAAGAATGTATTGAAACCAATGATACATTAATTGTAAAGACTTCATTGGTTTAAAAGGTTCCAAATGGGCACTTTGAAGCGCAAACGGCCTAAGTAAAAGACTGCATTAAAATTAATTCTGATCACTTCTATTCTGACAAATTCCAATTAGAACAGTGTTCAATTAGAACAGGTGTATGTTGTAAAAATGATATTTTATTTTTATTACTTCTACGTTTATGATTGAGTCAAATCCTAAAATTTAAGTCTGGAGTTAGGAGTTGGTGGGGAAAAGGAAATAGAAATTGCTTTTCTTTGAGTTTCGCAAATGCTCACATGCAAAATAGTATTAATTTGTATAAAGAGCACTGGAGCTCACACTATATTAATCAACATATTTTTCATCTTTATGTTAAGACCACAATTATATACTAAGTTAATTATTCAGCAGTTAGCACTTTGTTTTATCTATTCCTTACCAAGAGAAATGTATGTATTAACATCAATAGTTCAAAGAAATCATTAGGAAAAGTCTTTTGAAAATAACATCTCCTCTTTTCCTCTCTACCAATCTTATTTCAGAACCCATTTTTTTAATTGGTAAGAACGATATATATTACTCTTACATTGCAACTATCTTCCTAGATACTCAAGGTACTTTGAAATCCATTAACGAATGATTAAGCATAAAAGCAACTTACTTTCTGACTTTTCCCAATGTTCATACAACACATTTTTTTCTGAAGTTTTTAATATACTATAAACTTATTACTGATAAAGTATATTTAAGTCAATTGCTGTGTTTCAAATTATTTAAGTATTAATTATTATATACATAATGTATATAATTTGAAGTACAGACAGCAACTACAAATGAGTTGATTATTTTAATGAATGTGTGTTGTTGTTTTCACTTGGATGTGGGCTAAGCATTAAACAAATGTATTACAGTAACAGGATCCCTTAGCATTTCCAGATAACAACTCATTGATAGTTTTGTGTTTCTGTTACTCTGTTAAATAAAGCATTTCTAATTCTTCCATTTCTTATCTTATTTTACAGGAAATAAATGATCTGGATGTACAGGAACTTGTAAGATGGTCAATTGGAAGGTTAACGATTATTCAACAGACATTTCCAGTCCCCCAGAATGTAAGTCAGCGATGTTTCCGTTGCAACCATCGGATATCTTCAACGTTGTGTGATCCAGAGGATCCATTTTCTCAGAATATGGAGGTATGTTCTAAGTGCCAGGATATTTCTTCAAGGATGCTTTGTTCGGTGATTGTGGAGAGAGCTTTTCCAGTGGCATTGCATTCAGAATTACACGTTTTCGTTTTCTGAACTCGTCACTGCTAGCAGTTTCATAAAAAAAGAAAAACAGCAACATGAAGTGTAAACTTTAAGACACCGACCTAATTCAGGAGCAACGAAGATTGCACGGTGGTCAGGATTCCAGTTCTCTGCCTGGTTCCTTCATTCTCTCAGGCACATTGGCACTCCTTAATCTATTTTGGGTGTTTTCCTCCCTGTAGGCACTAACATAGGTGCTGGAATTTCCCAGGTACACAAACCAGACCCAGTCCCCTCCCCTGATGGAGCTTACATTCCATTAGCCTTGCTGTTGATGATGAATACATTCATAAGTAAAGTGTATGCCCTAAGTGCTTGGGGTGGGCAGTGCAGAGGAGGACGGGGGATGCTAGGAGACTGCAGCTTTAAATAAGGTGATCATGATCAGGGAAGACCTTACACAGAAGCTGGTACTTGAGGAAAGAACTGGAGAAAGTTTTTGCATATCTAGAAGAAAACTATTTCAATCAGAAAGGATTGGAGTGGTAAGTTCCCTGAGTTTACAGTGTGTCGAAAGTCCTTCAAAGAAAGCAAACAGGCCTAATTAGTTTCCTGTAGCTGCTGTAGCAGGTCACCATGAATGTGGTGGCTTAAGACAACAGAAACTCATCTTCTCACAGTTCTGGAGGCCAGAACTTTGAAATAAAGGTGTTGTGCCAAACTTTCCCTGGTGACTGCAGGGGAGATACCATTTCCTGCTCCTCCAGATCCTGGTGGCTGTAGGTGTTGCTTGGTTTGTGGCGGTATCACTCCGATCTCCGTCTGTCTTCATATCATTTCTTCAGCTCTCTCAAAACTGCTTTTCTTTTATAAGGATACATATAATTGCATTTATGGCCACTCAGATAATCAAGGATAAGCAGATCCTCTATTGACCCTTAATTTAATCACCTCTTTTGTCCTCTAAGGTAGAATTCACAAGTTCAGTTGATTTGAGGTGAATACCCTTTGGTGGTGGTGGGTGGGGGACATTTCCCGCTGACTTCCCCAAGTCAGGCTCTTTTTCTACTAAAAAGGAGAGGGGGTGTGGTTGGTTGTTGCCAACTTTTTGGTGTAGGAGTTCTTTGTTCTGGGAACCCTTTGCAGCTGTCCACGTGGGTCAGGTCAGGGTGCCCCTGTAAAACCTCCAACAAAACAAAAGTGGTTTTCTATTCTGCAACCTTTGTACGAGTGCAGAAGTGCTGACATCCTTAAAGGTCAGAGCCCCAAGAATAGGCTCTCCTGTCTATTTCAGGCTAAAGGCAACATTGTTTTATAAAAGATGCAGAGCTGGGAAGACTAAGCCTAGAGAACAGGGCACAGGGTTAAAGGAAAAGGAACAGATCTAATATGGAGTCTGGTTTGTTCTTTTCTCCTACAGTGCTTTTATGGTGAGAGGTAAGAGGATGTGTCTGGGTGGGTCCTCCTCTGTCCTAGGCTGGGGTTTGGGCAGGAGCCCTCCCAGGTTCACCGTAACTTGGACCTGATCTTCCACAAAGTAGCAATTACAGGTGGTTAAAACGACCTGTCAAAGTCCCTTCAATTGCTGGTAAACTATATAGGGGGGAGGAGGGCAGGGGAAGTCTCATTGGCCAGTCAGCAGTCTCTGGGGATGCAAGGGACCAGTGTCGTGGCGGTTTCTAAGGTGGCCAGGCCAACACAGCTGCCTCCTTGGCTCTTCAGCTGTGGGCTCCTCATATGGACACTTTCAAATCTCCCGTCCCTCTTCCCTCAGTCCCAGAGCCTCATGCATACGGCCCACCTCCTGTCTATCCCCCTGTGCTCAGCCCCCCTCCCCCCTCCCCCTGCAGGTCCCTGTGCCCAGTGCCTCTGGCCTACGGGTCCTGATCACCATCTGGGCCATCAACCACCTAAGGCCCACAGGCCAGTGATGGGCAACCAGGGACCACCCTGACCCGCCAGCTCAGACGAGGCACAGGGCGCCCGGGAATTGGAACCGCTTCCAGCCAGGCCACTGGAGCCCTGTGGTCTCTGAAACTAGCTGTACCGGATCCTGACATTGTACTGTACCCGCTGGGGGCCGTCCTATAGTGACCTGAGCCCGGACTTCCCTGCCCCACCTGAGGGTGAGAGGTGAGGAGGCGGTCAGCTCCGGGCTGGGGTGGACTTGGA